TAATTTATTTTTTAAACATAAATATCTTTAACTGTTTATAACCAATTGTTGTAAATTGTACTCACCAAGAAACTCAATGTGGAGAGGAAAACCAATGGAATTCAAACGCTAGTGTGGCAGTCGGTCAAGGTAAGAAACAGGGAATCTTTTTCTCTTTGTCGACCAGTATTTATGTTTAGTGTTGTAGTAGATCCTGTCTGATTGGATGGATGTGAATACAAAACATTTAATTAACACCTTCTGGAAAGCTATAAAGGAAATCCTTTTCACCCTCCCGATAGTTTTGTTTTAGTTCTATTTGTATGTTTCTACATTAAACAGTTACAATATTAGATACTGTTACTATTACAAGGACAGACATTTCATGTAATCAACAATGCAATTCGTTGAAATCTCAAACTTTTATTACCTGGGGACACTATGAAATGCTACTATAACAGGTAAGATTTCTATCATTTTTCTTCTTTCACATTGAGTTTAGGGTACAACACTTTTAAATTGCCGAGCTGTTCGAGTTTTCCCTTCCCCAATCCATCAGCATAAAAATTCCGATGCAATAGTTTATGAAACCTAGATTTTTTTTTTATTCCTACTGCAGTATAAAAATATAATTAAAATGAAAATAAAATTTAAATCCAGTTCATATTTGAAAATGGCATTAAACTATATCTATTTTTGATTCTTCATCTTGTTATGAACTGGATTCATTTCAGATTTGTACTAAAAATTACAAGTAATTTTAAAAAATAAATGTTGATTATAAATTTTTTTCTGTGCCATAAAATAATTTTTTAAATTAAAATATCAGCTCTTAACAAAAATCTTTTTTGAATTGTATTAGATTGATTTTCAGTATGTTCATGATAAATTGGAAGCAGTGTTTTTTGTTTTCATTATTAAAAGCATGCACACATTTTGGTGGTACCTAATCAAGTTTTCAAAAAATCAGCTTTGTTTAGAATTTTTTCATAATTCTGAATACTTTTTTATGATATATGAATTGACTAGAATTAGTTTTTAAAATGGATGCGTCTAATTTTCTCATCTGGATAAAATTTAGGAATTAACAATCAAACGATTTTTTTCTTGATGTTTGTAAAACATAAGTATGAAAGCATTAAGATTATTTTCTGTTTAATTAATATATATATATATATATATATATATATATATATATATATATATAATTGTTTTTTTTTTTAAATATATTATGATCGCAACACCAAAATTCCCATGTTTCTAAACTGAAACTTCAATTCAATCATAAAAATTAAACCTAAAATACAAAGTTCTGTTCCATTTTCAAGCGATGCTACAAATAACTTTTTTGAAATTGATTCACTTAATTTATAAGTCCAGACTAATTTGATATTTTGAGATGTTGGGGTTAAAAAAATTTTAATCTTTTTTATTATTTTAGGGGTGTTAGGATTTAACTTATTTAGGAAAATCATGTATCTAATGTATGGTAGACATCAAGTCAGTCAAGTCAAGGTGAGGGCTGGGGTATCTGAATTACGGATCTCATTGTTCTTTCATATTATTTTAATATATATATATATATATATGGAGTGTGTCTATATTTTTGAGATGAGGTATTATGTACATTATTTACATTATTCGGACTATTGTCCTCATCTTTGTCACCATATTTATCACAGCGTTTCGGCCGTTGTACGCTCTGGCCTTCTTCAGGTGGTTGGAATGTCGAACTGAACATTTTCTTTCGCTTACTGGGGTAGACTTAGAACTTAGTTCCACTTGCCATCTTTGATGGATGTCAGTTATCAGTTATACCTGTTAATTTCCTCTGAAAGTTCTCCACTGCCTTAACATGGTATTGAACTCAAATGCTTTGGGTCCTGTCATTGGATCTAACCAACGCCTTTATCCACTGTGAATTGTGTCCTGAGGAAAAACGAAACGTTGTGAAAAAACGTGACAAATATGAGGACAACAGTCCAAATAATATATATATATATATATTATATATATATATATATATATATATATATATATATATATATATATATATATATATATATATATATAGATATGAGAGAGAGAGAGAGAGAGACAATATTAGTTGGTTTGTGAATGTAAAGGCATGAATAGGAATGCTAATTGCTTTTCTTTTGTATAAAAATAATGAAAATAAAAAAAATCAAATTTTAAAATCACAAAATGCAATTTATTTTTTCAATGATTATTTAAAATTTTGAATAAGCAATTTGACCTCTGAATCTTCTCCCTTTTTAATGCATTTTTTTGGGTCATTGGTAATCTATAAATTTATATGAATTTTCAAAGTTTTTAATTGTAAACCAGGAACTTACATGAATCCTGTGAAGAAATGTGTTCCATTTAGTGGATAAAAAAATGTCACTGGTTTTATATTTTTTGGCATGTCACAAATTCGTTTTTCTGTTCTAAATTCTAATAAAAAAATTTTTAAAAAGGTAATTCCTCTGTCTATATGGTCAGTATAATGTCACCCACAAAAAGGTAGCAACGTGTACATATTAAAGAAATGTGGTGGTGGCTTAATAAAATAGTTTTCCTATTGAATTAAGAAATTATTAAATTAATATATAAAAAAAATGTTCAGATATTTTTATTTTAAGGTAAATACCTTTATAATATTTATAGGATATTTATCTGAAAATAGTATCTATTGTTAATATGAATCTTTAATATATAACGAAACATAGATATGACTTAAAGAAAAAATAAATGTCTACACGTATAGGACACCTAACAGCAACCAGGTTGATAGTTTCAAATAAGTAGAAATGACAATTGTCATTGTGAATTACTTTCCTCTCTACTTTATGTGAATATTTTAAGTCATTTTATCAACCATTAAAAAATATTAGCAGCTTTCTATATGAATTCTATTTTTATCATTCATCAACAATTAAAAAGCAGCCAAGAATTATTTGTTTTAAGAAGAAAAAAATTGTTAAATATTTTCAAAATCCAATTTAATTTCACAATGAAGAAAATTATCTTTAAATGATATAGAACATT